ACAAACAACAACAACAACAACAAAAAACACTTGAAGAGTATAAAAACACTTTTCTGTCTCTTCTCTGGTACATTTCCCTCCCAAAGCTAATTTGAAAAAAAAAAAAATCAAATTAGGAATGTGATCATGAAGATGGTTAGTGAACATGGAATAAAAATAAATATTCCTAAGGGGTATATTTCATGCAAAGTAGGAGAAAGCTTAGAAAATTGTCCTGTCAATGTAGGTTCATTGTCCTTCCTGCTTTCCAAGCCTTTCAAGCATTTTACCACTGAGCTATACTCCCATCCCCTTTTCTTAAAATTTTAAGACAGGGTCTGCTAAATTGCCCAGGCCCAAGTAGCTGGAATTTCAGATATGTACCACCAGGCTGTTTGTAATGCAACTTTAATTAACTAACCAAGATTAAGCTATAGAAAAGAAGCTGACTGGAACATATCATTCTCTTAATTTCAGTTTCTATGTGCTAATGCTCTTATGTAAAATGAAAGCCATGATTATTAAAAATAATTTATTTATTTATTTATTTATTTTTGCCTGGGGAGCCTTAGTCCTAGTCTTCTGAACACTCTTGATGTGGTGGGCTTGCACTTTTAAACTCCAAACTCAAATGCTTGTTCACCCTTTTAAAGACAAGTCTTCAACCCCAAGCATCCCTCCACCCCCAACACATGGCAACAGCATTGAGTCAGACTTCTAACAAGTTCCTTGGGGAAGGAAAACTTGCTTCCTTCTATCTTGGGCACCTTCTTAGTCCACCATGCCACCAATACTGCTTATTTGAATTTATCACTGAAGTTCTATTCTCTTGGCTTTCGAGCTTTCTGAAAATGCCTAGCTGGGAGGACCATGCCCTACCTATCTCAGCTGGCAAACTGCTCCATTCTGAGCCTGGAGTGGASAAAGCTGTGACCTTGTTTCCCCTCCTTTGGACATACTCCCTTGCCTTTACTATAGATCTCAGGAGTGTTTCTGCTTAATTATCACATTCCTTGAATCTAAGTCTTTGTAATAAAAGAAAACTCAAGTATGATTAAAGCATAATATATGTGGAAAAATATTAAAGTTCCATTTTAAGGGCTAGAATAGTCCTTAGCATGACTAATAGATGTTCCAGAGGTTTTCTAGGGCTTATAACACCTCTGCCTATAAAATGGTTCGACTGCCTCAACAATCCAGTTACAGACTGACAAGTTCTTGTTTTAAATATACAGCATAATACAGCCTTTTTAAAAGTTCTATGTGGATGTCCCGACTCATTTTTAAAAGCATTTAAAGTAGCTTATGAGAAATACATAAATTTTAATAAAATCAGAACCAAACAACAGTTAAGAACAGAAAGAAATGGAATACTAGGCTTGGAGGACTGTTGTTGTTACCAGGGATTAAACTCAGGAGCACTTAACCACTGAGCCAAACACCAAGGCCTTTTTTTTTTTTTTTTTTTGACAGGGTCTGGCTAAATTGCTTTAAGCCTTGCTAAATTACTGATGCTGGCTTTCTTTAAATTTGCAATCCTCCTGTCTCAGTCTCTGGAGCCACTGGGATTACAGGGGTGTACTACCAGGCCCAACTGGCTTGGAGGTTTCTTACAGCGAATATAAAACAGGACTCATCATTCTGCCCATTTGAGCATGAAAATATTACCAAGCACTTGGAGACACTTTATTCAGGGTACAAAAGGGAAACACTCAGCAAGATTCTGAGCACACACAGCAATCAGTTTCATAAAACTATTTTTACCAGGCTGGGGAYGTGGCTCATGCGGTAGCACACTCGCCTGGCACTCGTGCAGCCCAGGTTCAATCCTCAGCACCACATATAAACAAGATGTTGTGTCCACCGAAAAGTAAAAA